CTGAGAGCTGGTGGCCAGGAGGCTGATTTGCAGAATGTGCCCTTTGGTGATGTAAATTAGTATATATGCCTGAGTGTTTAAAACAACAACAACAACAACAAAAACAGCTAAAGTGAATAGAGAGAAATACTGTTAACTGATAGTACATGGGGGGGGGATTATTATTATTGTAATGAAACAAGGTTTATGATTTGTTGAATGTAAAACTGATGATCTGCCCTGTAAACTTTCACTCAATCCACAATAAAAACCTTAAAAAAAGAATTGCTGTGTCTTTCTCCACATTACGTATCATAGTGATTCAACATAACGGATGCTCAAAAGAGTTGATTGCTTGTGTAAATAACTCCAAATCACAAATTTGATTTTGCAATACATTATAAGAAATTTGGGTAATAAATGTATCACCATAGTAATGTCTTATGTAGTCCTGTTGTGGCGCTATAGGAAAAGCACTGGACTGTTAATTGCAAGGCCGAGGGTTCAAACACATCAGCGGCTCACCAGAAACCCTATTCAGGATTGCTATGAATCACTATGACATTTAACAACAACAACATTGAATTTATTTTGCAATTCTTGAATACAAATCAGGTAGACTGTGGATTAGGGCAGGGGAGCCTTGCGTAGGGACGTTGGGGTGGAGGGGAAGTGGGATGTGTTAAAATGCATCATCATGCTTATGAAAAATTGCCCACATGAGATGAAAATAAATTGGATTGTTAAGGTTTATGTAAATACTAAGAAATGTTTTCAAATTTCATTTACTAATTAAGAGACTGGAACGGGTTTTCACTGCTAAAGGAGAGAGTCTCTGAAGGTCCATTGGACACCACTTTCAGAACTTCCTTTCTTGAAAAGCAAACGCGGTTGTACACGCATTCAATTTGTCTAGTTTCGCTGTAATGTGGCTTCTTCACCACGAGGTGGCGGCATGCAGAGCCGAGCCTACCGGAGCGCCCTCTCTCCCAGCATGCCTCTCTTCAGTGACGTCTTCCCGGAAGGTGTTGCTGGCTGCCGGGTGGCCCGCGACCCTGACAATAATTGTGACTGCGGAGCGCTGTCGCCTCTCAGCCCTACCCTGCCACGGGTGCGGGCTAGGATTGACGGAAAGAACACCAGATGGATCCACTTCACTGCTTATGTCTGATCAGGTCCCGATTGAAAGCAGTCATAGGGCATTTGTAAGTGTCGGGGGACCTGAAGGTTTCTACACCGCCCTCTCCGAGGCAGCACAGAGACCCCCCTCTCTGTGCAATGAATGCTGCAGCGTCTCTCAAAAGCATCGCTGGAAGGCTCTAGTTTGGGGGATATGTTGGCGGAAGGGAGGGAACAAACAGCTGTCCCACCCCTGCGGTGCCTGATGGACTTTGAGGGCCCGACCTAATTTCCTGAATAATGCCCCAGAGTTTCTAAATCAGGACGCAGCTTCACTCCCTCTTCTCCAACTCTGAAGCTTCTCTAAGTAGAAAGAGGGCTGCCGCCTGAGGGAGCCACCTGGTCCTTAGAGCCATGAAGGTAGAGACTGTGCCTTCAAGTCATGGGTCCTCAGGTGGGTCCAGCAGTAGCCTTAACCTGTTGGATAGCCGGAAGCTGATGACTGTGGGGTTCGTGCTGGGCTGGCTCCTGGTTATCCACCTTCTGGTCAATGTGTGTCTTCTGTGTCTTCTGTCAGCTTTGTTAGTGGTGCTGGGAGGATGGCTGGGCTCCAGTGCCATTGTAGGAGCGACAGGTCGACTGCATCTGGAACGTTTCATCCCAATGACCACCTGCCCTCCAAGCCCCGAGGCAGAGAGGCAGCTAGAACAGGAGATCAACCACACCATCCAGATGATTATCCGGGACTTTGTGTCATCCTGGTATCGCTTAGTGAGCCAGGAGCCAGCCTTTGAAGAAGAGATGGAGGCAGCCATGAAAGGGTTAGTCCAGGAGCTCCGGAAAAGAATGAGCCAGGTGGACAGTCATGCTCTTGCCCAGAGGGTTCTGACTCTCTGTGGTTGTCACCTGCAGAGCTATATTCAGGCAAAAGCAGCCACTGCAGGGAAACAAAGTGGTTCAATTGAGCCCGCCCAACTCTGGGAGGCTTATTGCCAGGTTACAACCCCACATCCTGCTGTGCAGAGCCCCAGCACTGAGGTCATCCATACACGTGGCATTGTGAATGTGTTGCTTCGAGGACTAGTGCCTAAGCCTCACTTAGAGACCCGGACTGGGTCCCATGTAGTGGTTGAACTCATTACGTGCAATGTAATCTTACCACTGATCAGCAAGCTATCTGATCCTGACTGGATCCACCTTGTCCTTGTAGGCATCTTTTCAAAGGCCAGAGATGATCCAGGGAAAGAATCGGAACCACACAGCTTAGCCAGCGCCCTGGAACAGCCCTCAGTGCCTTCATCTCTGCCACTAATTGGTGAAGTAAAGAGTCTGCCGGAAGTAAGAGCTCCTTCTCCAGTAGCATTCCCAGCATTCCTAAACTGTAGTGAGCCAGAGGGGCCTGTAGACTCCACCCGAGAGACTGAAGAAGGTCATGAAGCTATAGAGGGAGATTTGAGTGGCATTCCAGAAGAAAGAAAAATCGGAAGCAACTCATCCCATTTTCTACAGCCAGAAACTCGAGGCCCCCTGTTCTTATGTGAAGACTCAGAGCTGGAGTCTCCACTCTCTGAACTAGGCAAAGAAACCATCATGCTCTTGACCCCAGGCAACTTCCTTTCTGACAGGATCCGAGATGCCCTATGTGCCCTCAGGGGTTCCCAGGTTCTGGAGCCTAAGGAAGGTGAGGGATTGGAAGGAATTGAAGGAACAGAGACTGAGGAGGATCCAAGGACAGAAACAGAGACAGGCCTGCTGGTCTCCATGCTGAACGCCTGCCCAGACATCCAGATTGACACACCAGACAAAACAGTAGAGCAAGAAGATGCCACTTCTCTTACAGCTTTGCCAGAGGGGCCAGAAATGACCCCCCTCCCACGCCCCTCATGCTTAGAGAAGGATCTCACGTATGGCGTGAGCTCTCTCGAGACTGGTCTGCCACACGTTCTGCTTTCCACATCTCCAACCAACTCTCTCAACACAGCTACCTTCAGCTTTGAGTCCCTCAGCAGTCCAGATGGCCCAGTTGTCATCCAGAACCTTCGTATCACTGGCACCATTACTGCCCGAGAGCACAGTGGCACCGGATTCCACCCATACACACTCTACACCGTGAAGGTAACAGGATTAGAGCTGAGATCACTATTCTGGGTTGGGAATGGGTTCAGAAAGTGGAGAGGCTGAAAATAATGTTCTCCTGGAGAAAGACTCCACTTACTTTATTATGTTTAATTAACAAGCATCTACATGTAAAAAATCTGACCCTAATTTGCAAGGCAGAGTAGTCACTCATCTTATGTCCATTCAAACAATCCTAAAATGTCATGTTAGGATGCTGAGGGTCCAGTTTTAAAGTAGTTCCCAGTCCTGGCTGCATATCAAAATCACTTGGGCTGCTTTTTAGATATACAGATTCAGGCAGGGTCTGAAATACTCTGAATGAGAATTTCTTCAAAATCCTTTTATTTATTTACTTTAAATACATCTTTCCAGGTGATACTGGATACAGCCTGTCCTTCAGCCAGTTTAGAGGAACTGCTACTATAATCTAACCAGCCTTCTGATATTTGGACCTCTGTTATAACTCTGCCAACTAGTTCCCAAGATTTTGATTTTGCTTACATACTTCCAGAAATGAGGAAGGTGTTACCTGCTAGGCAGCTGCTACTGTGTGCTATGGAGTCGGTTCCAACTCACAGCAACCCTGTACAGGGTTTCCGAGGCTGTAAATCTTTATGGGAGCAGAAAGCCTCATCTTTCTCCCACGGAATAGCTGGTAGTTTCGAACTGCTGACCTTGCAGTTCGCAGCCCGATTCATAACCACTACACTACCAGAACTCCTTATAGGTAAATAACTTATCTTCCTAATACAAAGTACAGAAGATGTTGGTAAGTGCCACTGAATCACTTCTGACTCAGTGATCCTGTATAGGGTTTCCAAAGGGCAGCTGGTGGGTTTGAACCGCTGACCTCACAGCTAGTAGTCCAGTGCTTATCCTACAGCGCCACACCATGACTCCACAAAAGATATTGTTGTTTAATGCTGCCAAATCAGTTCTAACTCATAGTGATCCTGTAAAGGGTTTCCGAGGAGTGGCTGGTGGATTTGAACTGCCAATCATTGCAGTCCTGTGCTTATCCTACAGTGCCACACAAAAGATAGTAGTTAAACGAAAAAGAAATCATCAGGGAAGAATTTGGGAGTGAGAATTTCTGGTCAAGACTGTATCCATTGGATTTTACTTGTGTTTTCCTTGAATGTTTCTTGTTCTGAGTCCAAAGCTACCACCATCTACAAGCTTCAGTGCTGTTCTCCCCATTACATTTGAATCCATGTAAATGCAAAAATGATCCTTTCCTTAATCTGCTTAACACAGCTAGAGCAGGAAGCTGGCATTTCTAAAAGAAATGTGAAATTTTCAAATAAGATAAAGTGGAAATGACTGGAAACACACACACACATATAAGCTCCTTAAAAAAATAGACAAAGTTTATAAGTACAGATGTCATATAATAACTCAATCTTCAAAGGACTGATACAGCTTTGTAAACATTTGCTTGACTTTTCCCTCTTGATTCTGGGTCTACATGTGATAGGTACCCTTCTCATAAATATTGTATATATGACATCTTCTAACAGTGAGCTCTGGTAGCGTAGTGGTTACGAATCGGGCTGCGAACCTTAAGGTCAGCGGTTCGAAACTACCAGCCGCTCCGCGGGAGAAAGATGAGGCTTTCTACTCCCGTAAGGATTTACACCCTCGGAAACCCTGTACAGGGTCACTATGGGTCGGAACCGACTCGACGGCACTTAACAACAACAACAACAACAGTGAAATCAATAAGTTGTTTTGTTTTTTCCCTTCTTTTTAACCGAAAAATTAAACTTATGGTTAGAATTTTTTTTTCTAACTTCATAGTATTTGTTGATTAATTTTTTGTTTTTGCTAAATTTTGACATGTTACTAAGGATCCTCAAAAAAGCATTAGAGAAACACAAGATGAAAAATTAACCACAACAAAAATAATATAATCAATTGTGTATAATTTGAGAAACTGGACTTTGTTTCTTATAGGGACATATTATAACTGATTTAAAATTGTGTATCGGCCTTATTATGCATTCTGATAGTATAATTTTTACAGTTTATGTGATGGAATTGAAGATACCCGTATTGAATAATGTCCCTCAAGAAGCACAGTATTCCACAGAAAATATCATAACTCCAGGTGCTCTAAGTTTGAAAACTCCAACCTGAATTCCACCTCTATTTCTTAACTAGAGCTTTCCTTTTCAATACTAGTCTGAAGTGCTGAAGAAAGCATATTTTGTTAACATCTGCTCATAGTGAATACTTCTCCCCATATGACTGTAAAAATACTTTATAACACCAGTTTCAAGTCCTGCTAACAAGGAGGTAATTTGTTTGCATCACTTTCCCACAGTATAATACCTCAACCAAATAACTGTACCCTAAAGGAGCTCTGGTAGTGTAGTGGTTACGAATCGGGCTGCGAACCTTAAGGTCAGCAATTGGAAACTACCAGCTGTTCTGCGGGAGAAAGATGAGGCTTTCTGCTCACGTAAAGATTTATAGCCTCGAAAACCCTATACAGGGTTGCTATGGGTCGGAACCGACTCGATGGCACTTAACAACAACAACAACAACTTGTAATAGTCCTGGTGTGGCGCTGTTGGTTAATGAACCAGACTGCGAAGTTGTTCGAATCACAAGGTTGGTGATTCAAGTTCACCAGTTGCTCCTTGGAAACCCTATACAGGGTCGCTATGGGTCAGAATCGACTCAATGGCACTTAACAACAACAACAACTTGGCAATAAGACTGTGCTCGTTTGTAGTTCTACCGCAGGTTTCACTAAGTCTTTGAGCTGCTTATCAGAATACTTTCCCCTCTGTTGAACTGTAGCCCTCATCTTATTCAGGGGGGGACATGTAAAGTCATCCTTCCCTGCAGATTAGCCCTTCACACATATGACGACAGCAAACTGTCACCTCTTATAATGTCTCCAACTCTTACAGGCAGACATGATAGATAACTGTGAAAAAACAAAGTAACTTTAGCTCTAAGAATAGCATTTAGGAAGATTAGTCTGCTCAATGCAAAACAAAAACGCATGCCCCTTAATGCATATTAGAAAAACAAATGATTTATGTTTTGCTGTTTGGGTTATCCTTTCCTCGACTAATGAAGTCTGTAGTTCAGGGTAAGGGCAAATGGTTATCCTCTTACAATGCTCAGCCCTATAATGTCAGGGTGACAGTCCTTAGGATTTTCTGCTGTTTGGGTTATCCTTTCCTCGACTAATGAAGTCTGTAGTTCAGGGTAAGGGCAAATGGTTATCCTCTTACAATGCTCAGCCCTATAATGTCAGGGTGACAGTCCTTAGGATTTTAATAGATTTTCAGCCTTTTGCTTTTGCTTTGAGATTTGAAAAATTGTTATGAAATTAAATTTATAAGAGCATCTGATGAGGAACTTGGGGATAGACGTAGGAGTAGAGAGCAGTAAGACATTCTGGGCCATGTATGAGGGTGCTTGAAAGACTTCTTAGAAAACTGAACTTAAAAAATAATGAAACATATCCACGAACTTTTGATGTCCCCTTGTATACTACGAAGTGCATCTCATTCCTTAATTCATCTACTGTTAAAGTTTGAGATATTCAGTATAGCTCAAGGCAGCAATCATATACAGCAATTGCCAGAACAGAATGGGAACATCTGCCTCCTCCTACCTTTTCTTTACTCTTACTAAATGAATGAACACTAAACAAGTAGTCATTCAAGTCAGAATGGAAGGTTTTCCAAGCCTGGTTAATTGAATCAACATACTCATTCATTCAACAGTACGAGACATCCCTGGATGGTGAAAACACCAGTGGTCTACAGCAGTTGGCCTACCACACTGTGAATCGCCGTTACAGGGAGTTCTTGAATCTGCAGACCCGACTGGAGGAGAAACCAGATCTACGAAAGTTCATCAAAAGTCAGGAGCTTCCCCACCCCTGGACTGCCTTCTTTCTTTCCACAGATAAAACAGCTACCCTGGCCTGAGAGCTCAGTGGACAGTTTGTTTGTGGGTAGGGACGGGAGAGAGAAATGTAGCATTGAAGGGCCTTTGCTCCATGGTTTTTCCATAGAAGTTTTGGGTTTAGCTCTGGACACCACTGATTACACTTTTTCTGAGGCATTCCTTTGTGTATGAAAGCCACTTTCACGTTTCTACCTGTACCACGTGAGATATTGTGTAGAGTTAAACTAACTTTTCCAGGTTCATAGATTGATCTCTCATAAATACTAAAATATTATGAAGAAATCCTTGCCTCAAAGTGTAGAATAAGTTAGTAACTGGTTACTTTCTATAAACAAAATGCTGATGAACACCCAAATAAATCTAATATATTTGAGTGTATATGAAGGTGCTTCAGAAAGTTTGTGGAAAATGGAATTAAAAGATAATGGAAAAAGCTTAAAATAAAATTTAGAAAAAAGAGAGAATTTTTCCACAAACTTTTTTGAAACTCCCTCATATTTTGGATTTCAGATATGCATTTTATTTTTAATAGCAATAGTTAATATTATACCAAGCTTGAAAATGTATGTCACATTCTCTCCTAAACCCTATACACATTGTATTAGTTAATTTAATCTTCATTTAACAGATAGATGTTATTCCCATTTTACAGAAAAGAAATGAAGTCTGAAACTAACTTTCCTAAGATCATTTTTAATAGCAGTGATTAGATTCAAAATTTAAATTTAGGGAGTAGGATTTCAGACTCCTCACTCACAACTACTGTGCAATCTGGCCTTTTATACCTTAATATCAGTAATGAACGCTGGCTGTATGTATTGTATCCCTGGGTATATAGAAATAATATGTTGTTGTTGTTGTTGTTATGTGCCGTGGAGTCAGTTCTGACTCATAGCGACCCCGTACAGGGTTTCCGAGGCTATAAATCTTTATGGGAGAAGAAAGCCTCATCTTTCTCCCGCGGAACAGCTGGTAGTTTCAAACTGCTGATTGTGAGATTAGCAGCCTGATTCATAACCACTGCATTACCAGAACACCTTAGAAATAGCTTGTAGAACTCCTTAAATAAAATATATCCCAGGGAAATAGATTAATTATTGCTGTTTTCTTTATATGTACAACTTAATATAGGAATCTCTCAGTAAATATTAAGTGACAAAGTTTTTGTTGTTGTTGTTTTTTAAGATGTGAAGGGTCCCAAAAAGCTCTTTCCAGATCTTCCCTTTGGAAACATGGATAGTGACAGAGTTGAAGCCCGTAAGAGCCTTCTGGAATCATTCCTAAAGGTCAGCATTCGTCCTTCTGCCTCTGCTATTAGTGTACCCACAACCAGATAGTCAAGCCAAACTGAAGGAATCTGGAGACCGAATTTCTCTTTGAAAATCTTCCTGTGATTTACTTTTGTAGCAACTGTGTGCCATTCCTGAGATCGCCAACACTGAGGAGATGCAAGAATTCCTCGCTCTCAATACAGATGCTCGGATTGCCTTTGTCAAGAAACCTTTCATGGTCTCCAGAATAGACAAGGTACCATCAGGCCAGTTTACTCAGTCTTAGTTAGCAGGATGGAAACAGTACGTGAAAAAGAAAGAGATGAGATTTTGAGGGATATGGAGAAGCAGCACAGGGGAGCCAACAAAACATGGACTCGAATTTTCAAGACCTGTTACCAAGTATTGGCAGAATGTCTAGCTTGCTGAATAACAGTGAGCAACTATTAGGCAATAACACCCTGATACTATATGTCTGGGCGCACAGTGGCTCCATAAGATAAGCACTTGACTACAAACTACAAGGTCGGCAGTTCGAGCTCACTAGTCACCGTGCAGGAGACAGATGAGGCTTTCTGCTCCCACAAAGATTTAAAGCCACAGAACCCCTATTCAGGGTCACTGTGAGTCGGAACCAACTTGATGGCACTTCACAACAGCAACTATATGTCTACACATAACTCATGGGGGTACTATGATGCTGCTATTCCAGTGGAGGCATGTTAGGTGGGGCTAGGAGGTTCTCTTCCAGAAGTGAAGGGCCATCTTCTAGTCCCTCAGGAAAGAGAGCCCAAGACAGGGCACTAAGTGGATTTCGCTCAGTGTAGTGATTGTCCGCTGGAAAACAAAAGTGTGTAGAGCACTGTATCTTCTCCAAACAGGGGTCTCAGAGCTGTTGGCAGTGGTCGGAGGTCATCCGTGCTACACACTGGAAAGCCCAAAGGCAGTGAGCAGAGCTGGGTATCAGATTATCCAGAGTAGAAGGTTGAGATTTGTGTTTGTCAAAGGATGGCATGTGTATTAAAGAGTTGGAAAATGCTGACTCACTGGCAGGAGAAGGTTCTTCCTTTTCTTATCTGAATTTCAGGGAATAAAATGTAATTTCAAGTGGTAGGTGTTAGGGAGATTTACTGCTATGTGGAAAACCCTGAAAACTAGAAAGGACTCCGTTAGATTCCGTGTAGGTTCAGTGACTTCTCTGACACCTACTCCCTGGATGCCTGTTTCAAGCCAGGTCTGCAATATTTACAAGAGATACAACAGAGAACAAGATAGATAGGACCCCTCGCCAAGAAGCACAGAGCCATCTGTTCTGCAAGATTAGAGAGCAAGTTGTATTTCCTAAGCTATGTTGTCTACATTCATGCAGTCCTTTATGGTCTTTCTTTGGCTTATTATCTCATTAAAAAAAAAAGCAAACCTATTACTATCAGGTCTATGTTGACTCATAGCAATACTATAGAGTAGAACTGCCTCCTTAGGGTTTGCAAGACTGTGATCTTTACATAAGCAAACTGCTGCATCCTTTTCTTAGCTTCCAACTGCAGACTTTCAGTTAGCAGGCAAGTGCTTAACCACTGGGCCACCAGAGCTCCTTTTATTATTCCCTAGGTCTTATATGGAGTCCTGGTGTGGTGCTGTGGGTTAATGCGCCAGACTGCAAAGCCATTTGAACTGCAAGGTCAGCAGTTCAGGCTCACCAGCTCCTCGGAAACCCTGTACAGGGTTGCTATGGGTCAGAACCGACTTGACAGCACTTAACAACAACAACAACAACAACAAGAGGCCTTATAAAGTCTTAACTGACCATTTCAGCCTTGTCTTAGTTGTGAAGGATTAATGGAAAAATGAGGCCAGCAATATGTTAATTAGTGAGTTGTTATGTGCCACTACTTGGTTCCAACTCATAGCCACCCTGTATAGAGTTTCCAAGGCTTTAAACTTTTGCAGAAGCAGAAAGCCTCATCTTTTTCCAAGGAATGCCTGGAGGGCTTGAACTGCAGACCTGTGGTTCGCAGTCCAATACTTACCATACAAAGCTACTACACTTAATAATTAGTAAGAGTCACCAAATAAAAAATATATGTTTACATCTGTAATTTGGTATTTTAATGTTTCATTTATTTATATGTTTTCCTTTTTCATAAATATCTGTGTGTCATTTTCCTGGAAATAAAATTAATTCACATTTTTCAATAAGAATTAGTAGTAGTATACAAGTGCTATGTCAACTCCAGATACCTTAATTTTACCTGAGTGATTTTTAAAATTCTTTACTTAAATATGATAAATTATTTCATAAGAGTAACACACACATCTCTTTTGATTGAAAAGACCACATTTTTACTGCTTGACTTACTCTGAGCATATTTATATTATATTCCAGGTGAAGTAAGAAAGTATTGCTATTAGAGTTCGAATTCAGACATGCATGGATTTATTCCAAAGAAAAGGTGTTTAGCTATATCTCTGTGACCAGTGGATGGCTGAAGACAGATCTCTCAATAATACACTTATCTGAGACTCATTTGGGTGCCTTTTAAACAAAAGGTTCAATCAAACCAGTGACTTCCACAGGGATCTGCTGGGCTAGTTAAATTGAAAATAGAGAAGTCAGCTCAGAAGGTTATGGGACTGTCTTTTTGGATCCCAAATGAGTAATTGTGACAGATTTTCTCAAAGGCATACAGTGATCATAGGAGTTTATTTTGAAGTTTTAAGGAAATTGAAAACTGCATTGGTAAGAAAAGGGCTTGAAAAGTTGTACTAAGGAAAATTTTCCATCAACAACAATGTGCTCCATCACAACAATGTGCCTGTTCTTTCTTTGAAGATAGCGAGTACTGTCCTAAAAAATGTTCTTTGGGAAACCTTACCTTATCCACCCTACAGCCCTGATCTTGTTCCTTCAGAATTCTTTTTGTTCCTACAACTCAAAAAACATTTAGAAGAAACATAATTTGAGTCCCTCAAGGATGCTGAAACTTCTGTTTTGATGTGGTATAAATGGAAGAAAACAAAATTCATTGGGAAAAGGTTAGAGAGATGGAAACACTGCTTCAGAATTGTAGAGACCTAACTGGATGTTGTGTTTAGTAATAATTGTAGCTCCTATTTTGATATTTTTGTTTCATAGAGGTTTCTATGATCTGAGAGCAATATTTTTTGACTTACCTTCTTATGCCTCTAGACTATATTGCTTCTTTCCTTCCTCCATGTCCTACTACTTATGTTACTTATACTTAGTCACCACTTAACAACAACAATAACTCCTTAGTGGAGATATTGATTTGGAAACTACTAGTTCTGGCAGCCCTCTAGTCACCAGAATGGAGGTGTGCAGACAACAAGAGACCAATGAACAGATACCAAAAGAAAAGAATGTCCACATCTTAATCTCCACGGTTCTGTCAAGCGACTGTGGCTGCTCTGATCCTTCCCCCGCTTGGTCTCACCCAAGATGGTGGCTCCTGAAGCAGCTGAGCACCTTGAATTAGAAAGCAATGGATTTCTTGCTTCTGCTACAAATTCCCCTAGGTGTGAGCCTTCCAACTTTTTAAATATTCCCTTATATGTGGTTGAGAGTTCTGGGACCATTCCATGAGCCTGCGTGGTCCTGTATTCTGTGTTGTTGCTGATGGAGCTCCTTACTGCACTTCCACCCAATCCACCATCTTGTTTGTTCCTCATGATATGGAAACTAAAAACCACTGTTTTGTAAAAAATAAATAAATAAATAAATAAATAATCAAGAATGAAAAATAGCTTACCATCCAGACAAACTCCTAGTTTTTTACTTATTTCACTATTTTTCTTGACTTCCTTTCCCATGGCATTATTTGTCTTCCTCTGTCTAGAAGACTTTTTAGTTATGGTCCAGAAAAAAGGAGCTAGTTGCCCCACTGAGTCAGTAAGTGGTCTGTTTGACTATTCTGATGGATAAGTCTGTGCTCCATAGCTTGGCTATTGATGTTTGCTGATGCATAAAGCCTGTGAAACTGCTTGCTTGTCCAGCTGTGTGTGTGGCGGTCTGAGTGACTTTACTGACCCTATTGTACCTCTGGCCTCTGCAGATGGTAGTGAGTGCTATCGTGGATACCCTGAAGACAGCATTTCCTCGCTCTGAGCCCCAGAGTCCTACAGAAGAGCTGAGTGAGGCTGAGACAGAAAGCAAGTCCCAAACAGAAGGCAAGAAGGCTAACAAGTAAGGAGCCTTTCAGTTGCCCAAGGACCCTGTTCCAAATATTAGGTTGATTCTCAATCTTCAGCCAAAGCCAATCCCTACTACTATCAAGCCTAGATGAGAGGAGATGAATTATATGTACCTGTTTTTATGCAAAATCAGACTCCAAATCCTCACTACTCTACCCAAAGGAGTCTGAGATGCTGCATAGTGACAGCATTGCTGAATGCTCTTTTTCAATGAGATATAAAATGACCAGGGATTTCTTACTAGAAGGAAAACTCTAGAATATAAATATTCCCTCTTCTTTGTTTTCCTAGGAAACTAAGATATTTCTTTCCTACTATGAATTAAGGCTCATGACTAATCTCTCTGCCATCATTTCTGGAAATCTTGGCTTAGAAGTCACATATCTAGCAATAAACAGGAAAGTGCTAGAATTGGAACCTGAAGGAACTGTTTTACTTTCTCCTGTAGTGGGACCCTAAATGATCCGTGGGAGCATTTAAAGCCAGCCTGTAGAAGGACATTGTACTTAGTCTTTACTGAAAACTTCATCAATCTATAGACCAATATGAAAAGAAAGGAGAGACTGTGTGTGTATCTGCCTGACTGTCTCCACCTCTGTGTCCGTGTGTTATGAACCAGCACTAACAGACTCATAGTTGTTAGGTTTTTCACGTAGGTCTGTATTTGAAGAGTGACCATGATGCCTGTCTATATGTGGGCTGGGCCATCTCCCTGAAACATTGAGACTATAGTTTAAGCCCTTCTCTTGTTTAATCTATTATTCTCTGGTTCGGAGTAATAGAGTTGGAAAAAGGATATGAACAAAGAAATATAACACTTGGTCTATGCCACTAGTCTGTTTGCTCCACAAATTATAAATGAATGCATACTATTGACGGTCACTCTTCTAGACTATGGAGATGCAACCATGCCAAACTAGTTCCTATATTGCAGTGACAAAAACCCTTACAAATATACGCTGTGGAGACTAGTTTAAAAGCTGCTTGGAATTGCCAGAATATACATTGTTTGGGGGATTTCAGGGTTAAGTATTTCCCTGCAATTATAACCACAATAAGTGCTTGAGAATAAGTTTACAGATCCTTGTTTTGATGTGCTAATGATCTTCAGCCCTTTGTATGGGGATGAAGACCTTGAATTGTATTCTGTTCCTGCTATTTGTTTCTGTACTAGGTCCAAACTGAGATTTCCATCCAGTAAAATTGCACCAACACTGAGTATGTCGGAAACACATGAGAAGGTCCTCTATTGTCTACAAGAAGGCCGTGTGGTAAGCACCAAAGCTTGGAGTGCTTCTGGAATTATTTATTGCAGTCATAGGTACTTGAGACATTCTCTAAAGTCAAAAAGTATTTACATATCAGTATCTACAGCTCTGATTTTTATGAGGAGTATATTTTTTATGTGAGAATATTTTGAATTCTTACTAGTTTAGGGTAATTTGGTTAGTCTCTCAAGAGTAGGGTATTGGGATAGTAGATGACAGGATGAGAGAAAAAGCAAGTCCCAGGTAAGAACAGGTAATCTTAAGTGTTAGCTGCAATTGATAATCCAATGGCAGACTCATTTTGCTTGCAACTTGGATAAAGAGTAAAAATGGCTTTAAGGTGATCACAGACTTGATCAGGTTCTGTACCTACAGTTTTGAAGTGGGGACCAGGTTAGGAACCTAGAATGCTGCATTTGCTTGCATACCATCTGTGATCTTTATGTGATGTGTCACTGTCTGTTTCTTCAGGAATCAGATACACTATCCTTGTCTGGAATGGAGTCCTTTATTGAAAAACAGAGTAAGTTATTAGAAATGCAGCCAGAGGAAGCCCCAGAAAAAGATCTTGAACAAATCAAGGGATGTGTGGATGGTTGCTTGTCAGATGTAACTGTGCCAGCCCATGACCTTAGCAACAGTGATCCTGGTAAGTGACAAAGTTCCTATTACCACGATGAAGGGAGCTATTGCTGTTGTTAAGTGCTGTTGAGTCGGTTCTTACTCATAATGACTCTGTATAGGGTTTCCGAGAAGCAGCTGATGGATTTGAACTGGCAACCTTGAACCATACCAGGAGTCCAGAGAAGGGAATAGGGTATGATAATTTCAGTTCTGTTCAACTAAGCAAGCCAGGTGTTTGACACTAATATTTGCAGTATCATGTTAGGTCCTAGTATATGAAAATCAGTATAACACAGTCCCAAGAGGTGAGTCTAGCAGAGCTGGAATATGAAAATCAGTATAACACAGTCCCAAGAGGTGAGTCTAGCAGAGCTGGAAAGCACGGACACAAGAAGTTCTGATCCAGCAAGATAAGATCTGTACAAGAAATATTTTTATCTTGTTTCAGTTAAATTTTTTTTGTATACTTTGACATATCTTTGCACTACTCCGTTTATGTAGAAATGTTCTTCCTTAGTGTCTGTGATACCACCTTTCTGGCTTACTTTCTACCTCTAATCTTTGTTGGTTCCCTTAGTAGCCTTCCACAACTTTAGTATTGGCTCTCTCTTACTTTACCCACTTTCCCTGAGCCATCTCATCTACACGCTGGCCTGTAGCTGTAATACTGATGATACCCTTATGGATTCTTCCAGCTGTGTCTATCCTATTGTTGTTATGTGCCTTGGAGTCAGTTCTGACTCACAGCGACCCTGCACAGGGGTTCCGAGGCTTGAAATCTTTACGGGAGCAGAACGCCTCATCTTTCTCCTGCGGAACAGCTGGTAGTTTCGAACTGCTGACCTTTTGGTTCACAGCACAGTTCGTAACCACTATGCTACCAGAGCTCCTTGGAAACCTCCATTTGGATTTAGATTGTTGTTGTTAAGTGCCAAATAGTCGATTCAGACTCATATTGACCCTCTGGCTGGAGAACAGAAGGCTCCTGAGTCTTTAAATCTTTGTGGAAGCAGAAAACCTCTCTCCTGCAGAGTGGCTGGTGGGCTTGAACCACAGACCTTGTTATTTGTTGTCCAGTGCTTATCATATGGAGCCACCATGCCCCCCTTGGATATATGAAGGAGCTTCAAAAGTACGTGGAAATTTTTCATTATCTCTTAATCCCATTTTTCAACAAACGTTTTGAAGCCCCCACATACAACTATAGCAACTAAGTGCAACGTGTACATAGCAGAATTTATCTCTTTTCTTACATCCTTCCTTCTTCTTGACTTACTCTCATAGTAAATGACACCACCTAGTTACCCAAGGTACAGCAAGAAGGTTGCTACTCTCTCCTTACAAGTATTTGAGGCAAAGTAGGTTAGTTGCTTCCCAAGAAAGTAGAAATGTATTCTGTGGAGGTAAAATGGGAGCCTTGGATATTACACAGTATATTTTCTGAATTAGAAATCATGAAAGATCACTGGACTATTCCTCTGTGGAATTCAATTCAACCTCACCGTTTAAGTACATGAAGTAGTTTGAAAGCATCAGGAACTATAAGAAATTTAAATAAGGTTAGATTGGTAGAATCATATCATTCTACCAATGATCAAATCTGGAAACTTTGCACATCATGTCTCCAAATGAGTAGTTTGTGCCTTCTGCCAGCCTTGATAGCTTCAAAAGCCTGAATGCTCATAAGATAAAAAAATTACCATTTTCTTCAAGAGGACTTAGTTTCTTACTTGCTTTCTTATTTTTATTGCCATGACTAATTGTTACCACATGGTGGCAGCTATAGGCAAATGCTGTTATTAAGTGACACCAAATCGGTTCTGACTCTTAGTGACCCAGGACAGGATTTCCAAGAGTAGTTGGTGAGTTTGAACTGTTAACCTTATAGTTAGCAGTTCAGTGCTTATAGTATAGCACCATACCAGGGCCCTGGTGGTATAGTGGGTTAAGCATTTAGCTGCCAACCACAAGGTTAGAAGTTTGAATCCACCAGCTGCTTTACAGAAGAAAGAAGAGACTTTCTGCTCCCATAAAGATTTACAGGTTCTTAGCCTCAGAAACTCTCCACACGGTCACTATGAGTAGGAATGGACTTGATGGCAGTGGGAGGTAAATGCTAAAAAATATAAGGGGACATTAAAAAGTTCCTGGAAAATTCCATTATGTTTTAGTTCTGTTTTTTCATGAACTTTTGAAATCCTCTCTTAATAGAATTAATGATGATGACTTAAGGCTTAAAGTGCTGCTCTTCTTAAGAAATTGAATTTCCCATCTTGGAGCAAATGGCTGGGAATCAAGCATCACATCAGCCCCGTGCATCCTTGGGATAGAGCACAGAAACAGAAAACCTCTAAGACATAGGGCAAAGAGGGAAGGAAGACTTCATTGTAGCAGATCTATGTATATCTGAAGTCATTTCTGTTCTTAATGGAGGAGAGGCTGGCAGCGTAAAAAATGCTCATTGATCCTAGACTATCATTAGTGGTTATTATTGGTTAATTATAATATTTATCACATCACTGTAACCAGATACCTTTTTTTTTTTTTTTTTTTTAGTAGATCCAGATATCTTAAGATTCATTCTAGCACATTATGTACTCTTGAGAAGGTCTTCCAGGAAGGAAGAAAGAGATGACAGGGCTGGAGAACAGATGGTTTTACCCATATAACAAACACATCTGTTCAGAAAATGTAAGCTTAGCATGGGCATAAGCTCACTGTGACCTTTCCAGTCTTCAACAGGAAAAATGTCATTAATTGTCATGACATTTACCAGAAGTGTGGTGTTCTTCCTAGAATTCCATGTTATGTTAACATCATACTGTAGCTTCCTGAGTCTCAACCTTGCAGCTCTGTGTAATGGAGTAGCTTTCAAAGTAAGTTTTTTCAGGAAAACAAAACCCAAATCTTTCCCCAAATCTGCTACCCACATTTCCATGGTGCCTTGTGGGGGTGAGTGGAATGTAAGGGTGGAAGAGACTTGATCTTGCCAATTCCAGTTAGTCACCAGTTGTGAGAACTTATTTGGAACAAAATGTAGTCCACATCCTGGAGAAATATAGAAGAAATAGAAGCTAGCTTGGCAAAATAATTATATGCAAAATCCTTTTAAAAGCATAAAGTAAAAAATGCCAGGTGACAGAGTGTCTGAAACATGAGCGAAAGAAATATACAGCCTAGCACTGAATTTTATAGATCTGAAGGAAACATCTCTTGACTTGATTTGAATGCAGAAGGACAACAAACTAGTCACCCTGAAGGTGGAGAAGACCCAGTGTCACTCAATGTGCACAGGAGTACGTTCCTTAAGTGTGACTGTCTTCTGAATTGCTTTTGATACCTTTTCACATGCATCTCTTCCCACCCAGGGACAGAGACAGAGTTAGCTGACACAGCCCTGAATCTGCTCCTCTTGCTGCTCATGGAACAGTGGAGATGGTTATGTACTGAAAACATGCAAAAAGTTCTTCATCTGATCTTTGGGACTCTAATTCAGAGGTAAGATTACTGAGTTCTCCTTCACATTGGAATCTCACACTGGATAGGAATTGTGTGCGATGTTGAATTCATCAAAAAGAGTAAATGTAGAGTCCAGGGAACCTGGGACCATGATGGAAATTGATTCTTTATCACAGGGGTGAAGATGGCTTGGAGAGGATCAGGTTTTATTTCACCTAAACCCCAAAACCAAACCTATGGTTGTCTAGTTGTTCTGGTTCATAGAGACCCTATAAGGCAGGGTACAACTGCTCCTTGTTGTTAAGAAGTTAAGTGCCATCAACTCAGTTTAAACTCATAGTGACCATGTATTATAGGGTTGTGAGGAACGGCTGGGGGGTTTGGACCACCGACCTTGTAGCTCCAACTGACTTTGCAATCCAGCACTACACCAGGACTCAACTGCTCCTTAGGGTTTCTAAAACTGTAAATCTTCACGGAAGCAGACAGCCTCATCTTTCTCCTATGGAACAGTTGGTGGGTTTGAACAGCTGACCTTTCAGTTAGCAGTCCATTGTTTACGCTACCAGGTTGGTTTGAATGTGGCTGGTTTGATAAGGATAACTCATAGAATATAAATGACTCCTATGATCTTAAAATACTGTAAATGAGCTCTTCCTCCTCCAAAATCAATCCTCTACCCCATTAGACTCCCAAACCCCTTGCCATCCACCTTTTTACCATTGACATTTATTTCTTTAGCTGGTAATATACAGTCATTGTAACAATAAACAATGGAACAGACAAAGAAAATGGACCAGTGCTTGTGAAATAAAGATTAGTTTCTCCGAGGAAAGTATAAGTATTCATAATTGAAAAAGCACTAACTAACAGAGGATGGTAAAGAATACACAGAAGGATGCTTGGATTTAAAAGTTGGATTTTATAATTTGGGCTTTGTGATCCTAACACCACTTGCATTTCCTAAGAGCTCTGTTCAGGTAGTCTAAGCTGCTACCTTCCTGACTGTAGAACAGATCAATGCTACACCTAACTGCAGAAGGCCAATGGCAGTCTCTCTCTATACAAGGCAGACATATGTAGGACTTGAGCTTGGCCACTCTTTTTCTGATCTTGCTCTTTTAAGTGACATTCAGGCAGAATAAGTTAAATCCTGATCTCTTTCCCTAGCATATGGCTCATGCTAACAGGTTGCTCAAAAAATGATGCCTATTAAAAATTAAAAAAAAAAAAAAATTAAGCATTTGTTCCCAATCCACCACCAACAAGAAATTTATATCTCCTTTCCCACACTTGGAAGATATATAGGATCTCGGAAACTTACTACCTCTAATCCTAAAGAGACTAAGTTAAAGAAGACGATGCATGCATATTTTTACCAAATGCTTATAATATGCCAGCATTTGACTTCTGTATATTTCTAATATTAACCAAATGAGATAGGTATCTTTATTTTATGGAATAGAAAAGTAGAGCTTAGAAAAGTCAACTAACATGCCCAAGGTCAGAGTGATACAACTGGAATTTGGAGCTTTTTGTGTATGCCTCCAAAGACAATGTGTTGTTTCTTGTGTATTGCAGCCATAAGAATAGTTTCTGCCTGAGACACCCATGTAAAATGCTGACTAGCTTCTTGCTTTAGGTTCCCACCCTTGTTCCTAATCCATATCTGCCACCAGAGTACTTTTTCCGAAAAGCAAATCTGATGATATATTCTCCACTCAAAATCCTTCAGTAATATATTATTGACTATTACAGTGATTTTTACCATCTGTTTCCTGGAGTTCTAGGAATCCACAAAGGTGCTGCAGAAGCCAACTTCGAGGCTAAGGAAAAAACTGAGTGGACCATGATATGACCAAAGCCGTTCTGATTTTATCATTTTAATTGACTAGGGAGCTAAGTAAGGTTTTGTTTGAAAAGGGGACTCCACTGTGTTAAATACAAACACACAAATGTATACACTTAGTCTCGCATTTAAAGTATAAAAAAATAAACAAGAGTTTGAGAGTCCTTTGCAAGTGCTGATGGGCTCGTTTGTTAAAGCTAAAACCTGAACGTTTCTGTCTCTTACATAAGGACACAGAACACCTGGTGTCTTTCCAGCACAGACAAGCACAGATACAGTACATAATCAGTAGTAGTTTCCAGGTGACTGGTGCTCTTAGTTACATGGGTGGAAAGAGCTGCTGGAATCAAAGTATCACTGTTCCTATTGAGAAGAGTTGAAAATCAGGCTGTGTTCCTCATCTTTCCATCTCTACTCCCTGACACATATGCTGGAACCATGCCTCTAGTTGGCTGGATAGATAGCTGTCTGGCAAATGAAAACCAGCAAAACCCAAATGCTACCCAAACTATAAAACAAATCAGGGAGAGGGTATACAGCTGAATTTCCCTTGACTTTGTTTTCTCTTCACTATTTTTTTTTTTTTTTAAATGGGGTGGTATTTCTATTTGGTAGGGGAAATTCTGAATTAATTTTAACCAGATACAAACTACCAAAATGAAGCCAATGTGAATATCGTGTAAAAGCAGAATTTTGTGGCCAGTGACTTTTGGAAAACTCTTTGGAACTGGTCTCTATATTCATTCATCATAGATAATGTAGGTGATGATATTTTGCAGTTGTTCTATTGTCTTATATCCTGTCCTGTCCAAAAGCTCTTACTTACATCTATTCTAACTTTATCCTTAAGGCTGTTTTGTTTTATCTGCAGTAGAAATAGGAACACAGCTGATTAGTACCCTCCTTACTCTCAGCTTCCAAAGACTAGAATAAAATGAAGAATTTCATCCTTCCCTGTTTGAGGCCTTTCATCTTTCCCTGTAAATCCTTACTTCTGTTTAATGATATTCTTGGCCTTCATCTCAAATATCATGGTGCTAGGTTCACAGTGTTCCTGAAGTCTCTTTAAGATAGCAGGCAGGAAGTCGTGGGTTTCTGGAAAAAGAATCAGTTTTCCCTCCAGAGGCTCTAAGGATGTGACACCTGTGACCCCTGGTATCAGGGCAGCCAGTCCCCACGTGCATGATAGATGTAGATTCAGAGAGTTGTTGTTGTTGTGAAGTGCTGTCGAGTCGATTCCAACCCATAGCTACCCAATACAGGGTTTCTGAGGAGCAGCTGGTGAGCTTGAACTGTCAACCTTGCAGTTCAAATGGCTTTGCAGTCTAGCGCATTAACCCACAGCGCCATACCAGGACTCCAGGTTCAGAAAGTAGATGGTGACAATCTTCTCCGGTCCCACTGTCCATGTGAACCAGGTCCCTGAGTATGCATAGCTTATAATTGCCTTTCAGCAAACTGAGAGTTTTCTTTGTGATACATGTGCTGAACACTACGAACGTTTTGCATCATTCCCTGTACAGGGTCACAATGAGTCGGAACCGACTTGACAGCACTTAACAACAACAATCCTCTTAAAAGCCCTGTGGAAGAAGTAATATAAGCCCCATTTCAAAGATAAGGAAAGTTACGCTTATGAAGCATTTTGATTATTAATCAAGATCACAGAGCTCTTAAGTATGCCAGGCAGAATTTAAATCCAAGTCTGTCTGACATTCAGAGCTTGCAGTATTAAACACTATGCTATAATGACTTTCATCTTTTGGGTCAGATCTCTACCCTGTGATTTGGAGAGATCAAATTCAACCCCAAAACCTGTGGCTTTGAGTTGTAGACGTTTCCCACAAGGAGATTATGCCAACTGCATCTTTGTAAGTGCACACTTGCTTATAGCATAGAGGACACTCACTAAGGCCTTCCAGTCAGCCCATAAGTACTTGCTCCCTGGAAAGCATGCAGTTTTCATTTTTAAAAAGAGCTTTAAGCAATGATGTAGTCTTTAAACAAATAAAGTTGGAAACCTGATATCTCCCCCAAGCTGAAGCCCCCCTCCATCCACATGAGGTATGGTATGAAGTCCTAGCCTGTTGTTAAGTGCCACGGAGTCGGTTCTATCTCATTGCGACCCTGTGTAGGGTTCCAAGGAGTGACTGGTGAGTTTGAACCTCTGACCTTTCAGTTCAAACGGACTTTTTAAAGTCCAGTGCTCTGTTACATAATTGGATGTTCCCAGCACAGAAACTGATAGATGAGCACCATATAGTGCTAAACTCACTGAAACTGTCCCCACGACTGGTGCCCAGGAGGCGACATGCTGGTTCTTTCTCTGAAACCATAGGCACCTGAGCCTTAGCCTTCTGCAGGATACTTGGATGCCTTTTAAGTTCAGTGCTGTAGAGAACAGGATTGGTGCTGCTCATGGCTGCTGACACTTCTCTTCTTGTTTTCCTGAACACATTGTTTCTTAGGACTCAGGGATGGTGCAGCCACCTAGATTTAGGGTAGCTCCCTCTAAAAATGTTTTCATTTTCTAACCCCCAGCATTATTATCTACAGGTAGATAAGCTCATTTCTTCTGCTTCCAGATTCTTTTACTCTCTTTGCTCCCTTAAAGGACCTATATACATCACTGCTTTGGACTCTAGGAATGTCTGCCAAATAGTAAGCTCTCTAGTCTGCAAGGAAAAAAAAGGAGTAAATTCAACCTCATGACCCCTCTTTTTAAGCCAAGGTTGGATGAGTTCTGATCTGAGCCAGAGGCCATAAATCTCTCTTGACTGTTGATTGTGTGGGGAGAGTGGGGGAGGGGAAGTGAAGAGAAGTTATATGCCCAAAAAAGGTATTGTTAAGTCAAAGGGAAACCTAGCACGCATGCGTGCCTGACCTCATCTGTCAGCTTCTGTGCTGGGAACATCCAATTATGTAACAAGCAGCACTCCTTATTTGGAAACAGAGATAAAGGGAGGGCAAGGGAAGTGGGGGTAGCAGTTCAAGCCAGGGAGTTAATCCAATGTGTGCAAACTCTACTCACGTCTGAAAACAGAAGAAACCTGACAATATCCTTGCATGCATCAGAATCAATTTTAGGGAGTTGGACAAGTATTCAGAAATAGAATGGGCTGTAGTGAAAGAGGAGAAATGTGCTGTGTTTCATTGATGGTAGAAGGTTTGGGGCAGGAAGATGCAACCA